TCTTTTTTTAATTGATTCAGGATAATCGCTAGACCTGGGATTAAGATTTAATCTTTATTTGATATAGCATTTTTCAATGAAAAATGTTTTTTAAGTAGGGTAGTGTCTGTGACTCAAAGGAGTAGGGGGCCAACCCCATATACCGGAGGTGGTGGGTTCAAACCCGGCCCTGGCCAAAAACTGCAAAAAAATATATATATATATTAAGTAAAAATAACTTTTGATTTATATTTTAAAATATTTAAAAGTCTAAGTTTTTTTAAAAATATAAAAATAGTATTAGTTAATAAATAAGGAAGAAAATAACTCCCAGTATCTCTAAAATCTCCAATAATGAAAGTATTAGAATTCTGTATGCTGTAAAATAAGGATTACAATCATTTCAATATAAGAAAAACTGAATTCCACACTTAAGAAAACATACAACCAAAGGAAAAAAAAACTCTCAAATATTTTCTTATGAATCTTGCTTTAAATGAGGCTTGGTAGTTAAGAATTGTGTTTCTTTTAAGAGACTAGAACCAATTAAACTAAAACTCTCCACAAATTCACAATGTGGGAAGCATACCAAGCTACTCCCAGCAGCAGTAAAATGACTATCTATTGCAGACACCCAGTTAACTTTTTTTTTTTTGAGACTGAGTCTCACTATGTCACCCTTAGTACAGTGCTATGGCATCACAGCTCACAGCAACCTCAAACTCTTGGGCTTATGCGATTCTCTTGCCTCAGCCTCCCAAGTAGTTGGGACTACAGGCACCTGCCACAATGCCTGGCTATTTTTTTTTTATTGTAGTTCTCATTGTTGTTTTAGCAGGCCCAGGCCAGGTTCGAACCCGCCAGCCTCAGTGTACATGGCCAGCATTCTAACCACTGAGCTACAGGTGCCAAGCCCCATTCAACTTTCTGATGCAGAAAAACAGCAACCCCAAACATTTCATGAGTGAGCTACCAGGTGTCTAACCAGTTGACCCACAACACCTCCCTTGTAAAGAGGAGACCCCCACGTAGGTCAAGGTCAACCAATCACTATCACTGTATTTTCTCCTATGCAGCCAAAGATGTGGCATAGGTTGTACTGTTTCTTCATCATTTCTAAAAGTTTTCCTCTTATACGTACATTTGAATTTTTTCTAATATATGGTATATTCTAATATTGAATAATGGTATTTTAATGCATTAATATTCTAATATATAATGCTAGGTCAAAGTCCCTTCTTAAAAACACAACTAACCAAAGAATGTAAAGATCCACTTCACCCACTAGATCACGTGCTACCTGGTACTCCATCCACACTGAAGGTAAAACAGTCCATAACTGAGAGACACTAAACTAACCAACTCAGGAGTTTTCTTTCTGGCAAGAACTCCTCTTCCCATGTTCTTGTCAGCACTGCTTCCCTCATGGCTCTGCAGGGTTTCTATCAACAAGAGTTTCTTGGCAGTTAACTCACAATTTCCACATGCAAAAGAAAACTGAAGGAACCACAGGCATCGACCAGCAACCTGAGAATTTTAAGGTTACTGTCTACTATGGAGCAAGTAAGTAGACTGATTAAATTTCTGTGCAACTAAAACATAAGAGAAAGCCAAGTCAAGTTCATTCAAGCCACAAACGAATTATCCTGTGTTTGACACACAAATACTAGGATTATACCTATCTTACAGTTGAAAGGTTAGCAAGAAAACTCCTGGGTTTTGTACATCTCTATTGACATAAAAATCTCCACAAAAACTAGTTAGTAGTTTCTAGATTGCAAAGAATTTTGCTACTGTGTCTTAGTACCTGAGTAAATAGCTATTATAAAAATTGAGAGGATAAATTGTTCCGAAATAACTAAGGTGTTTCACAGGTTTTATAAATAACATTTGTACTTTATGTTTTTAACTGTTTTCTTATATACATTATCTCTTATCTGTACAGCAACACTATGAAGTAAGCAATAAGGAATGACCATCTACATTTCGAATGTCTTCAGTCCCATAAGTAGAAAATGGAGTAAACAAAATTTAAAACACAAGACTGCTGTTCCTTCCACTGTATTGCATTGCTGAAGCCTGGAATTTGAAATTCATCTTCTTCCAAAAGTAATATTATAGGGTGGCGTCTGTGGCTCAAAGGAGAAGGGCTCCAGCCCCATATACTGGAGGAGGCGGGTTCAAACCCAGCCCCAGCCAAAAAAAAAAATAATAATAATATTATATATACATAGTGGTTTGGAAATCTAGATTCACCTACAATTTTAACTTATAAAGCCTGAACTATCAAAAAGCAGTATAATAATAATAGTTAAAAATAGATTTTTGTGGGCTGGCCTAAGCCCCTAATATACATGGATAACATTATTTCTTTGGTAAGAATTATACCATATCTTGCAACAAAAGATATTCAAATGAAGAACTGGCCACCCTTCACAATGCCTATCTGCTCAAGCAGCAGCTGTCCCTTTCACAGCAGGAGGGGAACCCAGGCCACCAACACATCCATCCCCTTCCCTCTTCTGGCCCCAGTAGCCACTGGTTTTCTCACCGGTAGAGATACAAGAATACAGTGGCTATGGAAATACTGCTTGTTCTCTAGGATACTGGGTATATCCTGCTGTCCATCTCTAGCAGAAGCTGTTTGTTCCTATTAGATTATGTGAGATGTGAGTCAGAAGTCCTGTAGGCAGAATAGGGAACGCTGTCATCTCTTGTTCCACTCTAACTGTGAGTGCTCCAAAGTGAAACTGGAAAAGGGCTCAGAGGGAGTAAGCATGGGTGGGGGAGGCCTACCAAGGGCACATGGGGCATGATAATTATGAGAATTCCTCATTTTATATCCAAATTAGAGAAAGTAATAAAATCAGAAGGAAGTGATAGAATTTTTCAGATACACAGTAGAACCTCCATAGTTGACCACCTTATTAAATTGACCTAATTTTCATAGACTAGATATGCACCATATGTACATCAGTAGAGTAGGCCTAGTTCCTCATGTTGACAGTCCTGTGGGTGGTCAACTTACAGAGGTTCTACTGTATTTATTTTATTTGTTCAACAAGTAGGGAATTAAGAAGAAAACATTAAATCTTTCCTGTTCCTGCCTTTCTATCTCAAAAGGTATCTTCTACTTAACAGGTATACAAATTCTTCAAATGAAAGCCTCCCTAACAGCTGTGCTATTCTCTGCAGACAGGCCAGCCATAAAGGAAAAATGGGAGACATACACTGTGTGTGAGCATTCAACTCTTTCCTTTTCCCCTTGGATTTTGGAATGGGAAAGACCGATTAATAAAATACCAGAAATGTAATATAATGTAAGTATCTCTCTCTCCTATTATCTCCCTAAAATATAAACCAGGTTCACTGCACCCAGAAGAAAGTATGATGGAGAGTAATGTGTTACTGAGCTGAACTTCAGAATCACCTGTGATGTTTAAAAAACAAAAAAGATTCACTGGTCTGATACAAAAATAGAAGAAAGGAATCTGTACTGTTACACTGTAGGAAGTTCTGATGATCCAGTAAGTTCAAGAGTCAGGATACAGCTCACAATGATATCCCAAGCCTCTATTTTTGCCAAACTTCTAGGAAGCCTTCCTGGATACCCTCTACTCCCATACCCAGGTTAGACCCTCCCTACGCACATCCCCACCCCATGTATTTCCAGAGCATCCTTATGATACTCATCCCATGAGATCATAGTTGTTCATATTGGAACCCCAGTGAAGCTGTGAGCTTCTTGAGGGTAAAGACTGTCATGTGTTACAGTATTTCCAGCCCAACGCCTGACTATAAATGTTCATCAAGGAAATGAAATCTGAAACAAATCAGAAATCAGATTCTATAGCTAGATTTTTCAACTGCATGAATTTAGTTAATTTCTCTAAGTGTCATTTTTCTCCTCTCAAACTGAAGAAACTGAAATTGATGGTTTATTTTTAAGCCTCTTATCTCAGAACCACACACAATCATGAAAAAATTGTCAAATCATAGGCAGGCTTTATGAGGACGGCAGTGAATGGCATAGAGCATGTAGTCAATATTTGTTGAATACACTGATGCTTTTCCTTATTTTCTGACCCATAAGCAACCTGGATAACAGGCAAATCTGTAATATTTTTAGTGAAGGTAGCCCCAAATATCAAACATAGTATTATTTTTATAATGATATGAAATGCAGGTTTAGATAGCTATATAATTCCAGCAGTATTTCAATCAAGAAAGCATTAGTTCCCTGAAGTTTGTAAACAAAACTCTCAAGGACTGCATCAATTCAATAAATGTATATTTAATGTATATAATCCCAGGGCTTTCGGAGGAGGATCACTTGAGGCTAAGAGTTCAAGACCAGTCTGGGTAAATATCAAGAGCCCATTTCTGTAAAAACAATTGTTTTTAATCTGCTGAGCCTGGTATACCACTTGCCTGTAGACCTAGGTACTCAGAAGGCTGAGGTAAGAGGAGCATTTGAGCCCAGGAGTTCAAGGCTACAGTGAGCTATGATCCTGCCACTGCGCTCCAGCCTAAGCAACAGGGTGAGACCCTGTCTCTAAAAAAATAAACAATAAAAAAAAAGGAATAAAACGTTTCCTTGTTTTCACACTATTAGTTGAGAGCAGTGATAATGACCATCTTGTTCCCTGACAGACCCTCCCAACACCAATGCCAAGTGCCTGGTGCTTATCAAATAGCTAGCAAACATTTTTTAGATAAACAGGTACAGCTGAAATTAGCAGCAGCTCCAGAATAAATGAAAGAGGTTATAAAGGAATGATCCGGCCCACTGCTTTCAGAAGTAGCTTATAAATTATAAAATCATTTGGCTCCAAATTTGTGAGATATGTCTTAATATTATCTGTGATAGTTTTGACAAGGCAATACCAATACCTATAGACAACTATTAATTAATAACCAAAACTCAAAAACATGATGAGTAAAGTAATTTATTAAGGAAAACATATATATAACTAAATTTACTATTGTTTCTACATACATTTCTACAAGAAAGTACTTACTTTCACAATCATCTTTAATATCTATAGTAGCAAATGGCAGGTCTACCAGAGGATCCACAGTATTGGCTTCGAATTCCCCTAATATTTTCTCTTCCTCTGACACATTTTCACATCCATTGGAATTTATTCCTCCTTTAACATATCACAAAAAGAAAAAAGAGCTATTTACCTTGTTTTTTTCTTTCAACTCATACCCTAAATGAAACAACTGAGCTGATTCAATACAAATTAACATCTGTTAAGGAATGTACTACTTATATTCAAATATACTATAAAGCTATTTATATAAACATTATACCATATTCTATATTTTAAGTGCATTTTTATGTTAAAAAAACAAGCCTCTGAAACTTTAATAATTTTCTAAAACATAGTATTCATCCCAGGGTCAGATGAAGATTGAGTTGATCAGTAATTCTCAGTATCATTTACAGTTACATTTTCTTAATTCTTAAACTACGTTTTTTCACATAACTTTTGAAAACAAGCCAACAAGGTTTTGTCAGTCTTTTTCATGTTTATTTTTAACAATATCACTTATATGATCTTATTTACACAAATCCTGACCTTTATTTTTATCTGCAATAAAGACTTTTAAGTAGTTCCTCTCCATCATTAAACATTGGAAAATCAGTTAAAAATACATGGATATGGCTCGGCGCCTGTGGCTCAAGCAGCTAAGGCACCAGCCACATACACCTAAGGTGGCAGGTTCGAATCCAGCCTGGGCCCGCCAAACAACAATG